CTGCTTCCTCCCACTTCGGCATAACATGTCTTCTGTCTGTACGGGACGTTTCTAAAACATTCCTGCTGTTTTCTTGACTTGTAATGACCCTCTGACGTCACTAGAACTACTCCCTGTTGGTTGTTTCAACCAATCAGGAAGTCCTGAGTTGACCAGAAGTGAGAACTCTTTAAGAGTCCACACTTCCTGGAACTTCTCAGTCTTGAGTCAGTCTTCAGTCTTCTAGAGGCCTTGACCGGAGTCTTCCTGGGGTCTTTCATGGAGTCCTCCACGTCTGAGTGGAATTTCTGACTGAACTCACAGCTTGCTGTGTATCCACCCGGGAGATGAGCGTGTTGTTGAACGGAGTACCATCATTACTTCGGACGATTCTCAGCCGTCCTTACCGGAGACGCTGAAAGGTAGCGTTGAAATGGACTCCTGTTCCTGAGCGGAGGTATCCCCGTCTAAGGTAACGAGTCGCCACGCACCGAGTGTACTGGGGCTGAGCTGGGGTCGGATGAAGGGTGCCATTCCTAGTCAACACATTTTCCTTTTTATCCATCTTTTCTCTCAATTTAAACTCCTTCATTTCCTATCTTTAAACTCTTCTATTTTGCCAGTAATTAATCTATATGCCTTCAGAAATGTCTGTTGTTTTTATTAAGTAAAACGTGCCAAGTTTTATTAATCAGAACCAGATCAGTTAATCACTTGTACATTTTGATGTTAAATTTTGATTCTGTTAAATAAATGACCACATGGTCATTTATTTAACAGAATCAAAACTTCTGATGGGTCAAAGAAAATTAACGTCTCAGTGTCACTGATTAAACAATCTACACACAGTTACCTCGGTCACATGGCTGTAATTTAACTCGAAAAAGAGATAACCCGTTATTTAAATATATTGTAGTCAAGGGCAGCTAAGCTAGCCCTTAGAACCCTACAACTGTAATGCACATCGATTGCCACACTCCCCACGAATCCATGACGTACCCCACAGCGTGAGTCTCAGCTGGACATGCCGGTTCCCCAGGACCTTCTCGCTTTGATGAAAAAATCTTATCAATAGAGTTGAACGCCCATGATACCAAATCCATAATCTTCTTAATTTATGTTCGGGAGATGAGACCCAGGTGCTTCAGACAGAGAGAGAGCAGAGCAGGAAGAAGGAAAAAAACGGGGGAGGAGAAATTGAAGCTGCCACCTCGATCAGAGCCTGGGAGAAAACAGTTGGGGTGGGGAACTGCTGAACTGGACTGGGGATATTGTTGAGTGGTGGAAGGAGCACTTCAAGAATTTCCTTAATCCATCCACCATTTCTACCTTTGCAGAGCCAGAGTTTGAAGACTTGAGGGGGGAAAAGTCTTACCAGAACAGAGGTCACCAAGTTAGTCAAAAAGCTCCTTGGTGGCAGGGCACTAGGGGTGGATGAGATTCGCACTGATGTTGAAGACTCTGGACGTTGTGGGGCTGTCTTAATTGACATATCTTTTCAATGTTGCATTGAAGACCAGGACAACACCTGTGGAGTGGCAGTCCAGGGTAGTGGTTCAAATTTTTTAAAAAAGGAGACATGTTCCAACTGTCAAGGGATCAC